ACATGACAAGCCTATAGCTAAAATCATACTAAATGGTGAAAAACTGAAACCATTTTCTGTTTTCTTTTGGTCTGTGACCGGGACTAAAACTCGGTACCTGACACTTTCACTCATTGACTAAGACTACCACGTAAGCCATGCCTCCAACCCAAAGAAACCATATTCTGTAAAGTCGGAAAGAAGACAAGGATATCCACTTTTTCTACTCCCGTTCAATATATGACTAGAATTCCGAGGCAGGGCAATAAAGCCAGAGGAAGAAATAAAGGAGATTCAAATAAGGAAGGAAGAAATCAAACTATTCCTATTTGCAGATAATATAAAAGATCCTTAAAACTCCACCAAAAACTTTTAGATAAACACTTAAAAACACTTGGAACAAAGTAGCAGTACACCAAACTGAATACACAAAAATCAACCATTTTTCTACGCATCAACAATGAATCAACTGGGAAAGAATCAGGAAAATAATTATATTCATTATAGCCTCAAGAAAGTATTATTGGGCAATGGTGGATCAGGCTACATGGGAGGGGAAGCAAAGATCAAGAGATCATAGTTTGAAGCTAGTGTGGGCATACAAATTTATGAGATTGTATCTCAGTCAGTGACATCTATTATCCCGAATAGCATGAGAAAAACCCAGCCAGGCTTGGCAAAAAAAAAAAAGTGAGACCTACCTGGTGCTACTCATTCCTATAATTCTAACGACTCATGAGGCTGCTATCTGAGAATTGCAGTTCAGAGCCAGCTTGAGCAGGAAACTTCATGAGACTCTTATTGTCAACTAATCAGCAAAACATGGGAAGTAGACCAGTGGTTCAAGTGGTAGTAGAGTGCTAGTCTTGAGCACAAAAAAATCAAACACTGCCACAACCCTGGCAAAAAAAACAAAAGAGAGCCTCTATATTGAAAATAACGAGATACAGGGTTTGGAGGCATGGGTCAAGTGATAAGAGTATCTGCTGAGCCAGCTCGAGGTCCTGAGTTAATTCTCAGTACCACCACAATAATCAAACATCTAGGAATAAATTTAAACCATATGGGAGATCTACAACAAAAGCTATCAAATCACTGAAGAATTGAATCGAAGGAGTCACCAGAAGATAGACCTTTCAGGCTCACAGATTGGCAGAACTACTTTTCTAAAAATGGCTATACTACCATGGAAAAGACAAGCCAGAACCCTGCTTCTCATCATGTACTGTCACCAATTCAAAGCAGTTCAAAGACCTTAGTGTAAGACCTGGAACTACTTCAGGAGATCATAAGGAAGATAGAAGGAGAGGCAATAACATCCTGAATAGAACTCCAAAATAGCTCTTACAGCTCAGCAACTAAGAGCAAGGATTGACAAATGGGATTGCATCAAACTAAAGGAACTTCTGAATAGCAAATGGTCACTAGGCCAAAGAGATAGAGGATAGAATACGAGAAAATCTTAGCCAGCTATTCATCTGACAAAGGTTCACTAAGCAGAATATACAGGGAGTTCAGAAAACTGTACCCAATGAATCCTTAGCCCAATTAATAAATGGACCAATAAGCCAGACAAGCACATCTCAAATGAAGAAATACATGAAGAAATGTTCAACATCCCTGACCAGAGAGAAAATACAACTAACGTAAAATAAAACTGAGATTTCATCTCACCTTAGTTAGAATGATGGCCACAAATGCCAGGCAGGCTGTTAGACAAAAAGAAACATTATATAGTGTTGGTCAGAATGTAAACTTGTGCAACCATTGTGGAAGTCAGTCTAAAGGTTCCTCAAAAATCTAACAATAAAACTACTGTATGATTCACTAGTACCACTGCTAAGCATTCATCTGAAGAAGTGTAAGTCAGAACACAGTAGAGATGCTTGCGTATCCATCTTTATTGTAGCACTATTCACAAACAGCCAAGTTATGAAACCAGCTTAGATGCCCTACTACTGGTTGATTTTTTAAAGATGTGGTTTATACATAAAGTGGAGTATTATTCAGCCAGAAAGAAGAATGAAATTAATGTCATTTGCAAAAAGTAAGCCAGCTTCCATAGGCCAAAACTTTGTGTTCCAGTAAGCTCCTGGTGGTGCTAAGGCCTCTAGTTCACTAGTCCACTGGCAGAATCACTTCTTAGAAGCTAAATGGCCTCCCTCCTGCCATCCCCTTTCCCTCCTGAGGCAAAATAATAAAACTTAGAAAATAACTAAGCTTACATTCTATAAAATCTTATTTATTGTTCTCTCAGTTGAACATACCAAATTCTTTTTAAAAATAAAAATGGTAGACATCTTTTGGAATGCAAAAATAAAAGTTGTGAGATGAAAAAGAAATATGCTACCATGTATTTAGAAAAGATCAGGAAGCCATGCAAGTCAGGAAGACGTGTCACTCATGCCTATAATCAGATCTGAGACTCATGGTTCAAAGCCAGCCCTGGCAGGAAAGTCCATGAGAAGTTTTATCTCCAACAAACACCTGGAACTGGAGCTGTGGCTAAAGTGGTAGAGTGCTAGCCTAGAGCAAAAAAGCTCAGAGACAGTGCCAAGCTTTGAGTTTAAGCCTCCAAACCAGCACAATAAAACAGAAAGAGAAGTTGGGGAGGAAGGGGAGAAAAGAAAATTCAGGGAGATAGCTTATAAATATTCAGTTGCTATGTTAAGGGAATAAAGCAATGCAAGGATTAACCACAAAATGGGTTACTAGAAGGAAAGAGAACACTAGATTCAAAGATAGGAATAAGAATATTAATCTTCCAATTTTCTTTTCTTAGATTTGACTTTGGAACTGTGTAAATCATTTTCATAATTAAAAAATAATATTCTGGGGCTGGGAAGGTGGCTCAGTGCATGCATGAGGCCCTGGGTTCGATTCGTCAGTACCACATAAACAGAAAAAGCCGGAAGTGGCGCTATAAGCTCAAGCGGTAGAGTGCTTGCCTTGAGGTGAAGAGCTCAAGGACAGCGCCCAGGCCCAGAGTTCAAGATCCAAGACCAACAAATAATAATAACAACAATAATATTCCATCAAAATTAGAATGTAAAAAGCAATCCCGATAGATAAAATTCTAAAAGCTGTGGGGATGGCCCAGTGGTAGAGTGTCTCCCTAGCAAGGGCAAAGCTTTCAGTACAAATCCCAGTGCCACCAAAAGAAAACATTAAGCCAGCATTGGTAGCTCACACCTATAATCCTAGCTACTCAGGAGGCTCTGAAGACCACAGCCTGGACAGGAAAGTCCATGAGACTCTAACCTACAATTAATCTACCAAAGCACCGGAAATGGAGATGGAGCTCAAGTGGCAGAGCACTAGCCTTGCAACAAGATCCAGACTATAAGAGCCCCTGTAGGACAAATGGCCCAGTTTCTTCAACAAATGAATTATACGTATCACAGTGGGGGGGGGGGAGGGACAATTTATAAAAAGAAACTTGGGAAATACATTAGTCACATGCAGTATATAGACTTAGTTTTGACACTAATTTAAACAAACCATTAAAGAAAAAAAAGAATAAACTTGAACGCCAGCTAGAGGTTTAATAGACCAGAATACATTAATTCCTTTGTATATTTTAGTGATTTTTCAATGCTCACATGGCTGGTAGAAAGCAGAGCTCAGGAAGGAAAAGGGAGAATCCAGTCTAATCTTCCAAAAACTACCAAAATGAATCAACCATTTTCCCCATGGGAGAGGAACCTTGTGGGGGCGGGGGGCGCTGATATATGACATAATAGGAAGGAATTGTCCATTACCAAATAGGTGGACTTTTTAACATCACCAATAATCAGTTCTGTCTGCAGTTGAGTGGTCTGTAATTTACTTCCCCCAGGTAGGGCCTCAGTCTTGCAGTTCTGCCCCCACTTTATGTAGCAGTTAACAGCTCAGGCCTCTAGTACCTCTAGTCAACCAGCTCTAAATTAGGGCTCATCTATTTGCTAGAGCTACTCACAGAACCCACGGAACCTTTTTCCAGTTTGTCATGAAGGATTATCACAAGGTGATGATCACAAAGATGATGAGCCAGGCAGAAGGCCCCACAGGACATGTTCTATGGGAAGGGACGTGGGATTTGGTTGGGGGTTCTTCCTAGACACCCACCTCCCCCTAGTACACTCCTTCATGTATTTGCCAGCTCCAAACCTCTTGGTTTGGATTGTTTACAGTGACTTCATCACCAGGATTTGATGGATGATTAGCTCCATCTCCTGCTTCTCTCTCCTTTCTGGAATGTTGAAGGTTCCACTCTGCTAATCTTGGTGTGGTCTTCTGGTAACTAGGCTCCCTCATGGAATCTAAGAGACAACTCATTAGAATAAAAGATATTCCAGTTAAGTTTGGAACGGTGTCATGAAACAGAGTTAAGCACCAAATTTGTGTGTGCGTGTGCGTGTGTGTGTGTGTGTGTGTGTCCCTGAGCTTTTTTGTTCAAGGCTATCACTTTGAGCCACAACTCCACTTGCAGCTTTTTAGTGGTTAATTGGGAGATAAGAGTTGTCTTGGCCTATGTTCCTGGCTTGGAACCATAAGTCCTCAGATCTCAGCCTCCTAAGTAGCTAGGAGTATAGGCATGAGCTATTTGGCACTTGGCTTCAAATATTGAAACTAAAGATTGCAATAGTACCTCTTTTTCTCAGGAAATGATAAAGGTTTTAGAAGAAGCTCCATGCCAGGAACACAGGCCAAGACATCCTTTCTTTACTCAAAATCACACAGTCACAGATGGAAAGAAGCTAAGTGTTGCTGGAGAACTGTTCTCCACATGGACATGTGGCTTTGTACAAGAGCAGGGAGCCTTTTCTGTAGATTCCAGTGTGGAGCCAGGATCCCAGAATGCCAAAGAGAAGAAATCTCGGTGGGGAGCAAGGTCTCTCTGGCTTTCATTCCCTAATGGCTAGAAAGGGAATGGATTTGTAGTGTGTGAGTTCTTCCTGGCAGGAAGGGAGCTTAAATAATGACACCTGGAGTGATCCAAACCTGTCCTCGATTTCTCCTCTCCACATGTCTCCCTACAGCTGCAACAACAAACGCTACCTGGAGACGCTTCCCAACACCAGCATCATTATCCCCTTCCACAACGAGGGCTGGTCCTCCATCCTGCGTACTGTCCACAGTGTGCTGAACCGCTCGCCCCCGGAGCTGGTCGCCGAGATTGTACTGGTCGATGACTTCAGTGATCGAGGTAGGACCTGCCCCACCCAGCTTCCTGCCTGGCTCCATCCAGTGGCTTTCTTATTACACAGAATCACTGGATGGGTCTTGATTGATTGAAAGTTTGCCACGTACCTGAGTATCAAGCATTGTGCCCCCATTGTCTCATTTAGTCTTTACCACAGTCCTCCCTGTGGATTTTTTTCCTTTTTATATCAGTTTAGAAATGCATAAAGAATAGATTTGATAATGTTAAGCTTAAACTAGTGATGGATACATTCATTCACTTTCTGTTTGTTTATTATGACATAATGAGATCTAAGCTTAGTACAACAAATGTTCAAAACTTTTATAAAACCAACAAGCCAGTCAGGTGCAGAAAACTTTTGTCTTATAATCCTAGCTTGTCAAAAGGCTGAGATCTGAGGATCAAGATTCGAAACCAGCCTGGGAAGACAAATCCCAGAGTCTCTTATCCCCAGTTAACCAGCAAAAAGCTGAAGCAGAGCTGTTATTTGAGTAGCAGCTGTGATTCTAGCAGCAAAGTGCCAGCTGTGAGCAAAAAGCCAAGCAAGAGCATGAAGCCTTGAGTTCAAAGCCCCAGTGCCATTTTTTTTAAAGGAAATTTTTTTTGTCTCTCTACTTCCATCCTCATGGTTACAAAATGGCTGCTGAACCTATGGAAAGTCTGCCTCAGTCTGGAAAAGGAGGAAGGGCAACATATACAGGGCCATCACCTCCTCCTCCTCCTCCTTCATTTCTGGAAGTTCTCCTTAGAGCATCGTTGCCGGAGCTCTGACATCTGGTTGCCCCATCTGCACAAGTGGCTGATACCATGAGTTTTCTTTTTTAGTCTGTAGTAGAGACAGGAAAAGGAGGAGGATAGGGGTATCCAGTAATCACTTTCAGTATTTTGTCACTATTGCACATGTGGGGAAAAAAGGAAAACAGCACTACTGACTCACCACTGTACTCCTAGCTACTCAGGAGGTTGCGATCTGAGGACTGCAGTTGAAAACCAGCCCAGGCAGGAAAATGCATGAGTCTCTTATTTCCAATTAGTCACCCAAAAAGCTGGAAGTGGAACTGTGGTGATAGAGCCCTGGCCTTGAGCAGAAAAATCTCAGGGACAGTGCCCAGGCCATGAGTTCAAGCCCCAGGACATACACACACACACACACAAAAAGTTTGCTAGGAGGGACTGCCTCATGCTATAAAATTTGTAAAATCACAGATGTAAGTCAACCTACCCATTTTGCAAGCTGGACGCCAAGCCTAACGCAATCCACCCATCAAGGAACACATGGCTGACTAGCGAAGTGGAAGGGCAAGAACCCAAGGCTTCTAGTGTCCCTCAGCCACCAGTGATTCATTTGCAGAAGTGTAAACTCCATTCTGTTCCCAAGGGAACTTTTCAATATATGATCTTCCCATTGCACCAGACCTGGTGCAAAATCCACCTCCTTGGCCAAATCACTGTCCTGGACTCTGATGGTTTGGATCTCTAATATCCAGTGTCCTCAATCTTTTACTTAGTGTTAAATATATCACCACAGCCCTCCCTCCAAAAGAGTATATTGATCAAAGAAAAGGTCCATGTAGTAAATATTACATCTCCAGAAGCCTTTGTTTCTCCAGAGAACAAAAAAGGTGAATTGACTGTGGCACCATCCTCACATCCTAATAAACTCTTCAAAGCCAAGTATGGTTGTACATGCCTGTAATCCCAGCTGTGTGGCAGTCAGAAGTAAGTAGGATCAGAATCTGAGGCTAGTTCTTTGCAAAAGCCTGAAACCTATCTGAAAAATAAAGTAAAACTAAAAGAGTTGGGTAGAGCATAGCTTGAGTGGTTAGAATGCTTACGTAGCAATGACAAGACCCTGAGTTCAAACCACACTGCTACCCCCTCCACAGATTAAATAAATAAATGCTTCCTGTCTCACTTTGTGGATGGGAATAAAAACTGGGATCCCTGTAAATCAAGCCCAACGCCCAAGGGAGAACTCTGTACCTTGCATCCTTTAATCCTGTATATAGCAGTCAGATTGTGTAATATGCCTTTCTCAGAAAAGCAATCATCCTTATTCTTGTTCCAAGAAAGAATTCTCAAGGCAGTCCTGGAAGAAACTTAAACAGCAGTGATTGTTTTAAAAATGAGATTTGGGAGAAACAATTTCAGAACTAACGGAAAGGCCTGTCTGAAGTATAGCAGATGTGAACAGTCGTCAAAGACAGATTTCTCTGGGCCCTGTTAGCACAGGTGGTCAAAGGAGTTGAAATTCGTAGATGCTAACTACAGGCTAGCCAGGTTATGACTAGCAGAAGGCATTTTCCTCTAAAATGAATTCTCTCCAAGTTCCCCAGGGCGACTAATTATAATTCAGCTAAGGGTCGAGACTTAGGCTAGGAGACAAAATGGAAGCAGATGAATTCTTGAAATTAGATCAAGAGTTTGGGGCAGGCAGTGTCAGGACTGGGGAAGAGGCAAATGCTGACCTCAAAAGAATCTTGGCAGTGCCTACAAACAAAATACAACATTCTCCAGGAGATTCCAGAAAGCTCTTCAAATGGGAGAGTTTTTCTCCAGGATTGGGGGGGACATGGAGTTGCTTTAGCCCTTGTGGAAGGAAGGAGGGCATGAGCTTGGAGGCCTGCCTCCAACTGCCCTCCCTCCCTGATGGCATGTTTCTAATAGGAAAAGCAAAGGAGATCTTTCTTCTTTCTTTCTTTGTTCATGTATCTGTTCTGTTTCTCTTCTCCTTATTGCTTTTGGGGCATTATTATTGTGTGTGTGTGTGTGTGCATGTACGTGTGAGTATGTGTGTATGCGCATTTGCACACATGTACGCGCATGTGCACGCATGTGCACACACACACACACACACAAATGCTACAGTTTGCATTCAGTTCCTGGGCACTGTCCCTAAGCTTTTTTGCTGAAGGCTAACTAACACTCTACTACTGGAGCCATAGCTCTACTTCTGCCTTTTTCAGATGTTAATTAGAAATAAGAGTTTCATGGACTTTCCTGCCTGGGCTGGCTTTGATCTGCAGTCCTCAGATCTCAACCTCCTGAGTTGCAAGGATTATAGGCGTGAATCACCGGCGCCTAGCTGTACCTCATTCTTACCATCTCTTCCGGGCCTTGGGTCTTAGTTTATTTTTGGTACCACCACTATTGTGTGGAGGGGTCATTCCCTACTTGTATTCTATTATTTGAGTTTCTTTACCTTTTGCCAGTTTTGTGCTACTTATTTGGGTTTTCTCTACATTTGTCTTGTCTTCGCAAGGTTGATTTATATTCATGTATTCAACAGTATTTGTAAAATGACTGAATGCCAGACTCTGTGCTAGCTCCTAAGGATACAAAGAGGAGAAAAATGTTCCTTACTTGAAGGCTTACCTGCAGGAGGGACAAGAAATTTTTCCAGGAGAGGCAATTATAAGACCATTGAATATTATCTACCTGGTGGAGGTCTTCGCACTGTGAGCCACAGGGTAGATCAGGGAAGAATTTACAGACAACTGCAGTTAAAAGTCAGTCTGAGCTGGATGGTGGTATAATCCTAGCTACTCAGGAGGCTGAGTTCCAAGGATTGCAGTTTAAAGGCAGAAAACTCCTTGAGATTCTCTATCTCCAATTAACCAGCAAATAGCCAGAAATGGAGCTGTAACTCAAGTGGTAGAAGACCAAGCCTGAAGCAGAAAAAGTCAAGCAAAAGCATGAGGCTCTGAGTTCAAGGTCCAGCACCAGCACAAAAATAACCCCATCTCAGGACTATACCTGGAGTAAGGGAAGGGCATTGGCTTCCCCCAAAAATCAAAAACATGACTTCAGTGGGGTATATGCAGAGAGAAGGGCTTTGGGTATTGGGCGGAGAGCCATTTGTGAGTTCCTCACCTGAAGAAAATTACTGGTAACATTCAGGCTGTCCTGTTTGCCCTGCCAGCATTTTTTTTTAAGTAGACTTTGTTTTTAGTGCAATTTAGATTCAGAAAGAAACAAAAACAAATAGAGCTAAAACTCCAGAGCTGCCATTTATCTCCTCTCCCCACCAAAATACATTATCCTCCACTATCAAAATCTCATCTGAGCCTGATGCCAGGGGCTCAAGCTTATAAATCCTAGCTACTCAGGAGGCTGAGCTCTAAGGATCATGGTTCAAGTTCAGCCTGGACTGGAAAGTCCATAAGACTTCTTGTTTTGTTTGGTTTTGTGTAGGTTGGGTTGGGGTTTTTTGCTTTGTTTTGTTTTACCAGCCCTAGGGTTTGAACTCAGAGCCTGGGCACTGTCCCTGAGCTTCTTTTTGCCCAAGGCTAGCACTCTACCACTTAAGCCCTAACTCCACTTCTGGCTTTTTCTGTTTATGTGGTGCTGAGGAATCAAACTCGAGGTTTCCTGCATGCTAGGCAAGCACTCTACCACTAAGCCACACTCCCAGCTCCTCTGTAAGACTTTTCTCTCCAGATAACCTCCATAAAGCTTGAAGGGGAACTGTGACTCATATGTAGAGTGAAACAGTTAAGGAACAGCATTGAAAAAGCTAAGGGATTATGCCCAGGCCCTGAGTTCGAGCTCTGGTATTGGCTCCTCCTCCTAAAAAAAATGCATTCCAGAGTGGTGCATTTTGTTACATTCCACAATAGTACATGGGTTCGTCGGCGAACTAAAATCTACTGTCTGTAGTGGAGTTTGCTCTTGGTGGTGTGTGTGGACAGGATAAATGAAGTGGATCATGGCATCACACAGTTGTTTTATAGCCTGAAACATCTCTGCTCCTCCTCTTCACCCAATCCTTCCTCTGAGTTTGATTCTAGTTTTACTATTTTCCCAGACTCTCATGTGCCTTGACTTAGTCAATGAGTAGCCTTTTCAGACCAGCTCCTTCCACTTGGTGTAAAATACATGGAAGGTTTCTCTGTGTTTTCCATAGCTCAATAGCTTGCTGTTTTTCAGTACTAGCATTAGAACCCAGGACTTTACTTACACATGCTAGTTAAGTGCTCTACCACTGCTCCATAACCCTAGTC